GGTTTTGTGGTCGACCAGTACTACTGTTAATTAAGATTTTATTCCCACACGATACTACACGTTAATCGTATATTTGAATTATGCATTACGGAATATTAGATTGTATCGCAGTTGTTTAGCTATTGCAATATATATATATATATATATATATATATACATATATACATGTTATCATATAATTGTATTTCAAAAAATGCACAGAATTAATATAGTAGTATTTACATCATTGAGATAAAGTAGCAAGAATTTGCATTTAAAATAACAATTATCATCTGTACAAAAATCTTACTATATAATAGTAAACTTTATTCTTTACAAATGTAATTTTGCTCTGTATCATAATGTAGCGATAGATGAAAATATAATCGCATCATAGATTAACATTTAATAACATCTAAATAAAAGATTCAAATATTTTATATTTATTTCTAAATTTATCCTAAAGAAAATATATACGTACAATCCTAAAGAAATTGTTCTGCTTTCTCACAGAGTTATTCAGAATTTATCGTTATTATTATTTGAAGCCGCACGCAAATCTATAGAAGAATTTAATGGAGGCGCTAAATAATAGTTTACATTATGAGATGCACAAGAATGAGCTATATATATTATTTCGAGCAAAAATCGATACAAGACCGGAATTTACATGCTTGCGCATATTTTTTTTTTTTTTAATATAAAAAAGTATCTCATATCATATATGCCGCAAAATTTCTTTCGCGCACTATATATTGACTTCTTTACAAAATATTGCATTTCACATTAGATTCTCTACAACTCCACGGTATGTTTCCGCGATATGGGTAAAGATCGTGTCATGTCAATGTACGAACCGCTTGCTTCGCGAATCGTACAAAGACAACGTGTACGCAAAAATCGCAAGCACTCAGCGTGCCATTTGCATGGAAGACAAAGAAATTATCAACTTGATTAATGTCTCTATTATCGCGTTTGCTCCGCTCGTTTACTCTCGAATTAATTATTTCGGCATGACTTATGTGCTAGGTGTCTTTTTTCGTAGAACCTATTTATAAACTAGTGGATACACATCGAAATATATCTATAAATATCCTTTATTTGACGGATTATATATTTCACTAGCGACGTATTGAGAATTTTATGCGGCAAATTACAATTAGAATGATGGATGTGTTCACTGTATGTTTTGCACGTTTAGAACGCACAGATTTTCCATATAAGTAGAAAATCGTGCGTAAATGAGCATTACATGCAGTTTCTCCCGCTGCATTTATTAAAGAATTACGTACGATGCGAGCTATTGTTTTCTTCGTCACTAGAGTTTGCAATCTGTCGATCATAATCATTATTAATACAGTAATTATTAGAATCATAACTTTCTTGAGTAAGTTCTTAAGTAGTTATAGATTTAATCCTATATAAACGAAAAGTAAATAGCAACGATGATGAGAATTTATATATATTTACATAAATATTTATAATTTAAGAATAAATCTATAGCGCGATAAAATAAATCTGTAAACTTCGTGTTGATACCGTTAAAATAAACTGGAAAGATTAAAATACACAGTCGAGCACATTACATGAACGTATATATATATGTATATATACACATATTTGCAGTTTGATCGCTCATGAGAATTATTATCAGATGCTCAGTCTATATATACTTATTTATTTCCCCCGCTGTTTCTTTCAATTATTAGTCACTATATTGGTCCTGTTGCGATTCCTCCGACGGATACGACCGCCACGCTGCCTATTGCTGCCCGGGCCCCAATCATCGCCCATCGGACCAAAACTAGGCCCGTTCGATCCGTTTGGATTAAATCCCATCATGCCGGGCTCGCCAGTTCCACCGCCACCGGGTCCTCCAAAATTATTGTAGCTGCTAGCACAGGGATAAGGAGGGCCGCCTTCGTAGGAAGGAGAGGGCGCAGGACCCAACAGTCCAGCTCCGTTGTTACGTTGCACGTTGAAACGTGGGTCGAAATTCATCTGATTCTGAGACTGCATTGGAACGGGCCCGTTCATACCCATTCCACCGGCGCCATGTGGCATGCCCATGGGCGGCGGCATGGGTCCGGGGTTCATCATAGGCCTCATTGGGCCCATACCCATCGGATAATTTGGACCCATTGGGCCCATCATGCCCTGCGGTGGACCTGGCATGCCACCGGGTGGCGGTCCCACTTGCATACCGACCGGAGCGAGGCCCATATTGGGTCCCATCGCTTCCATCGGTTGCGGCTGTCTTCCCTTGGAAGCGTTGATCACGTTTTGCGAGGATGACTGCTGATTGGAAGCGGCTGCCTCGAGCGTTTTCCGTCGCGGATCCGTACGAACGGTGCATTGCGGTGGAGATTTTGGTATCTCTTGCTTAACCTGCGGCGGCGGCGGCGACATTGGTGAGTCGGCCAGCTCGGGTTGAACAATGCGGAAGATCTTACGAAGACGCGGATCATACTTGACCTGCGCGTCCTCTTTTGTTAGTTTGGTATAGTCCGGTCTGGGTATATCCACCACGTAAACTTTGTACGGCATTGGCGGATGCGACGCGATACTCGCGTCAATCTCGGTACATGGGTCGTGCGCGGGCGCCGGTTTGAATGGCAGACTCAGTATCTGTCGCAGATCTACGTCAGATTTCACGCGAAGATCCGTGTCGCCGAACTCGGTGGTCTGAAAACGCTGCCGAAAATCCATGTCCTGCCGTCTGAGATCCTGATCTGCCCTCGTCCGGAGATCGGTGTCCATATTCGCGTCCATCGCAGTGATACCGGAACTATAGATGCTCGTTTCCAACCTGAGAGGCTTCTGCGATTCTCTCTTAGCGTCGGATATGCTCGGGCTGCTTGGTTTCTGTTCTACTTCTCGACGCTGCCTAGGATCTCGGGACATGCGCGGATCCCTAGATACGGGTGCAGTAATCGAACTCGGTCCCGGTGATAGTCTCGGACTCGACGACATTTCGCTGTCTGATTTGGGATCTTGAGCCAATTTAGTTTTGGATGTGTCTTGGTTTGAATTAGCCGCTTGTTGTGTTTTGTTGCTCGTTGAACTTTGAGCTTTTATAGTGGATAATAGTTTAGACACTTCGGCACTGATGTCGATCTTGCTCAAATCGCCCAATTTGTCCACAATAGCGGCCGGTTGAGGCACGTTAGACGCAGGTGGCGTGGGCGGAAACTCTTCCTTGACAACGATGTTCTGGTTTTTCTCGATGGGCTCGATCTCATCCTTCGAACTGTCCACTATAGTAAGATTGCCACCTTCATCGTCATCGTCGTCATCATCGTCCTCGTCATCCGAATACCAATCCTCGATGATTTGATCGGTACGTGCGTTGGAATCGTTATCCATGTTCTTAAAACTGTCTTGCGCCGCGCGTTGCTGCTGCTGTATTCGCATGAATAATTCTTGCGCCTTCTTCGGCAAATGGCAAGGCGGCACCGCTTCATGTTCGTCCGTAGAGGAAAAGAAAATGTCGTGGACTTGATCGCCTGTTTTTTAAACAAATATGTAATAATTATTCTACCATTATTTTATATCATGTTTAATTAAGTTTTTTGATCATCTATATGTTATATACATACTTTTTAAATAAATTATATAAATGGAAATAAAGAAGTGTGATATAAAAAATAAGAGATATTACTAAACAAAAAACAAAATTGTAATATAGAATAAGTATAAAATTATTTTTTTGATTAAACATTATTAAATCTTTTATCGAATATATATAACTGAAGAAAGGAAAAACCATGTATAATATAAGTAGTTATTCTTACTTTGCTCGCTATCGAAATATTTTTCTTTTTCCTTATCCTCATCTTCAGCCGGTACTTCGATAACGAGTTCCGCTTCTTCGTCTTGATCGCTTTCGTCATCAAGTTTATTTTTCGTAAGACTCGCCACTTTATCGGCTATACTATAAACAGGCGGTGGTTTCTTTGCGTTCAATAGTTGCCTCAAGTCAACGTCTTTTCTCTTTTTCGACTGCAAATTTATAAATAGAATAAATCATAATATACTAAAATCTTCTACTTTCAATTCAAATTTTCAAATAAAATTTATTATATGATATTTGTTATAATATAAATTCATATAATATTATACCTCGTTTAGTATATCATCTTCTCCTACATCCTTTGTAAAATCTTCTTTTGTCTTTTGTACAGTTTTATTTGATTCTGCATTTCTTTCGCTATAGAAGTTTGATGGTGCAATAGGTTGCTTTTGTGCTTGTTGCTGTGTAGCTAAACCTAATGCAGCATTTGGAAGTTGAAGACCAAGTTCATTTGCTGATTGTAGTAGCATAATATGCTCGTAGGGAACTCTATCCTCATCCGATCCCCATCGCGTCTTCTTTCCAGAAGGCTTTCTCTCCCTCAGGTTGGCTTGTTTTTGTGGATTTGTTTGTTCTTCTATTCAGTCAAACAATTTTAAATTTAATATAAAAATCGACAAAAAAAGCAATAAAACAAAATTAAACAATTTTTAACAACAAATAAATATATTAATTTTTCCTTATATATAGTTACCTTTATCTTCTTTTTCATCAGTTTTTTCTGTAGGTGCTGATAGATTCAATTCGAAAAGACTGGGAATCTTTTGATTTGTTGTATCTTGACCTTGCGCTAGAGAACGCGCTGTATTATTTATCATTAACATTGCACCCTCTCTACTCAATCTTGGAAAATCACCAAGAATTTCCTTTGGTGCAGTTTCTAAGTGTTTCAGAAGAATACCTTTTACCTGAAACACAACAAATTTAAATAAAATATTGTTAGTAATAAATTTAGGTACTATTTGTTTTATTCTTATTGGCATTATTCGATTTTTATTTATAATTTAATATAAAATTACATAAAATATACCTGTTCATTCAAAGGCTGATGCGAGAATTTACAATTGTCGCCCTGATTACACTTCAGACCAGTATGGAAGAACTTGCAAGGGAAATCGTGATGCATATACAGACATTTGTCACGTTTAGCACAACAATCCATAAGGTAAAACTTGCACAATTCCATTTTTCTGGGTGGTAAAGCGTTGTGCGAATACGGACAATCGTCTCCCCTATGACACTTTCCTTGCATATAATATACACAGATTGTGTCTGCTTCCTGTCCATGATCATTATTCTGCTGCCGACGACCATTTCGATCGTTTCGGATTTGGCCCCGAGTCTTGTTTTTACCACCACGTTCATTTTTACCACCGCGACGCCCTATCGTACGTTAAAAACACAATCGAATATAATACAACTCACATAATTATAAATTAAATAACTTTAATTGCATATAATAAAAATAAGAAGGATCATACATATAGCGTATCTTAGTTATATAAACATAATTTAGAAAAGTAGAAATTAAAATTCTGTGTGTACCTCCTCCTCCTCCTCCTCCTCCCCCTCCGCTTCCTCCTCCTCCACGTCCAGTGCTGCGTTTACTATCATTTTCTCTATGTCGATTTATATTAGGTCTTTCCTCATAATCCGAATTGTTGTCAAAATTTTCATGCTCGTTTGTACGTCTGGGAGAATTATTATTTTCTTGAGAATCCTTCCTAATAGGTGAGGCTCCTCGTACAAAAAGCATTTCATCTTCATCCTCATTGGCGTTCTCTTCATCACTCAATTTTCGCTTCTGCAAAGTTTCATAAGTCATTAGTAATAAAACAAGGACAACATTGAGCCTATAGCTTTAAAAGCAGTCTTATTAAACCAGAAAAAAAATTTTAGTGCATTATAAATAAAATTCGTTATCTCGTGTGTTATACATACCTTTTGTTCTTTACTACGATCCTCCTCTTTCTCATCACGAACTCTTTTCCGAACTTTGTTCCTGTTGTTCTTGTTCTTCGCTTTGGATTCCTGATTTTTCCCTCCTCCATCCTCTTCCATTGCAGCCTTGATGGCTTTTTCAACATCTCCAGCCCAATCTTCGGTTGGATTCTTGTATTTCAAAAAATGTTTGCCAGCTGCCTGTGTAGGCTGCTGCTTTTTATTTTTGTTAAACTTTGCATCAAAATTTTTATTTGTTGAAGAATCTGACTTAGGTGTTGGTTTAGCAGCCTCTGATGCAACATTTGCTGCAGGGACGATAGCCTCGTCGTCTTCGTCTGATGGAATTTCTCCATCTTCCAAATCGTTATCATTACTGCTGTACATATTTAAAAAAAATTATTTTTAAATTCATGAAAGCATTGCAAAAATTTATAAATTACACTTTATATATTGCTTTTTATGGTATTAATAATAATTAAATAATTTTTATAAATCATATATGAAATATTTATATTTTACAAATCACAAACTCTGATGTCTAATATAATCATATAATTATGGATTTAAATAACAAGATGTTATTTAAATTGGATTCAATGACTGCAACGAAGACAATACTACTTTCACATATTTACATTTAAAAATTTCTATACTTTTTGTTCTGACATATCAAATTATTATCTTTTGTTAATATCTAAAAGAATAAGTTTATATAATATTGTAAACTGTGTTATTATATTGAAATATGGATATAGAAGATTCTGTGTAATATATACACAATATAATTGCGACTTTCTTCGTGCATAATACATTATTAAACAAATATATATAGTTTCCCATGTAAAAGATGCAATTTTTTCATTGCTTTATTGTATTCTTCAATATCGCTACGAGATGAAGATCAACAAGATCTGATGATGTTTAAATTTCTAGGAATACATATCGATATTAAATACATTAGAAAAAGTATATTTCTTGGTCATTAAAAAATTGAGGCACGATAGCTATGATTTTTCCTTATCGAATTGAATTTTCCAATGAGGATAATCCTATTATGAAGCTCTAAATAAAAAAGAAATCCTTAAAACACGCTACGTTATCACCTCGTCATAATTCATAATAGCTTGTCGAAATATCGCGTCTGTTGTGTTTTATTAATGAGCTAAAAATAATGGCGGAGGGGAGATCATGAGGACGGACTCGTCATTGTCGCCAAGGACGAATTGATAGAGCACGCAGTCGAGGGACTATATATGTCATATGGTGGAGAATTCTCGAGAGAGGAGAAACTCGACTCGAGCGGACTATAACGCGGCGGCATCCGAAGCTACTGATCGTGTCGAAAACGTCGGTCTATGGGGGGAGAAAAAAAAAAAGAGACCACAGCGTGCAATAAACTTGCACACCCGATAGAAACCGCTCGATGGCAATCTCCGGCGGGAAAATATGTAACTATACGTATATATGTAAGAACGCCATATATATGTATATGTAAATTACAGTTTTATGTAAATAAAACCTGATCGTAAAAACAGACGAAAAAGAGAAGAAAAAAACAAAAACAGAATAACATATATAATATTGTTATCGATATCGAACAAATTTAAATTTCGATCGATAAGATTTAATTAACATGCTTAATCGATTCGATCGAGGAAATAAGGCCTAATATCCCGTAATCACGATATAGTGATATATCGAAAATTTCAAGAGATTCAAGCTCTGAAAAAAGAAAAGTGATTCTCTATGATAGAAAAAAAAACCTACTTCGATCGAAATATTTGCTAGTATAATTTCGATCCCTCCTTAAACCCACATAATGCGAAATCATTTATTGATTATCGATTAATTATACCGAATCTCAATTTCTGAGATATGTCGCCGCGCAAAAATGGCGGGACCTCGGAATGGAAATAAAAGATTGCCTTACCATCTTATCGGGTCATCATTAACATTATAATTATCATCATCATCAGATCATGATCATCATCATTAGCTTTCGTCATTACGACGAATCGTCATAATCATAGTATTATATGCATCGAAGAAACCATCACATTCTCCAGCATCGTCGTCGTTGCAGCATTGTCGATTTAAGGGTGACGTTAAAGCCGATGACGCCAAACGGGAACATTACGTCCAAAAGCTCTTCGCGTGTCGACTCTCGTTCATTTCAAAAGGGTTTCTCTCTCTTTCTCTGTCAATCGTGTATGCGTTGCGTTCGTATGTGCGTGACACGCGTGTCTCGTGTATCAAAGGGGAAAAAACTAAAGGTCTCGCGAGCGTCTGATTGTTCCGGCGTGGGGAGAGAGCGTGTATACAGAGTGACTCAGATCTACCACGCTTCATTTTTTGACTTCTACGTAAAGCTGTTCTTTTTCGTAGAATGTGGAAATATAATTCTTGTAATTTTATATAAGTGTGATGTTTTTTTATTTCTCTTTTCTTCAATTAATTTAATTTACCGATATGTTAGATAATTAAAATTCAAAGTAAAAGAGTTCCCTTGAAATAAAATTCATTCTCTCAGAATAAGGATAAGATTTTAATCACGACAATGCTCTGAACTTTATTTAAACGAAGCATTAATTCATCCATCCTTAATTTTTTTTTCGATATTTTTCTTTATAATTTACCAAACCCTTTATCGTCGATCGGTTTTAACATCCAAAATTGTACCGATGCCTTTCATTTATTCCTTCTAAGAAATAATTTATTTTAATCAGAAAATTAATCGAAAAAGTAAAGCGCGGTGGATTCGAGACACCTGGTACATGATATATGTCACAAGAGAAAGAATTGAAGGATGTGTGTACTTTTCCGTCCTGCTTATATCCATTAGCGTGTGCATAAATGTAATCGGTCTCTGTCGTAAAGGAGGGAAGAAAAACTAGAGGTTCCTATCTCGACCGGAAATGGATCGATAATATTACCGCGGCATTCGTATTGTCTCGATTCGCGTGCATCCGCGAATCGAAAATTCAAACAGAGAGGGATCTAATCATACATTAATACAAATTACACTTCTACAGTCGAAGACTATATACGTTCGCGATATGAATTAAGTTTCAAGTTTATATTACCATCTCTCTCTTCATAAATAATTTTTCGCGCGCTCGCGATCCGAACTCGTCGAGAAATTCTACCGGTTTCTCTCTTAATCTCGTCCCAGTAATTTTCTATAAATAAAAATTAAAAAATTAAAAAA